CCCAGCCCTCCTGCTCTTGCTCCTGGCTGCCCTGGTTCCCGGGAACACCGTCGCCCTCCGGCCGCACTGAGAACCCTGGGCAGCCTACACTTACCCAGCCGCACGTCCCGCCCGCTGTAGTCCAGAACTACTCGGTTCTTTACTTCCAACAGAAGGTAAGGGGCGTGTGGGGGTGGGGCTCCGACGTCCCGGGTCCCAGCGGCCGGGACCCCCACCCTGGAGCGCCCGGGCACAGGAGCTGTCTTCGAAATTCAGACTCCCGGATGCCTAGGACCTGTGAAGATGCGTGGGAGCTGTGGTCCCTGATGCCTACGGACGCTTTCCAGAGGATGGTCCCAAGTTTGACATTTCTCCTTCCATTACCGATGATTTAGTTTCTGTCCCGGCTCCGTTCCCATCCACTGTCTCTCCCTCAGAAGTTCCTTCTCTCCCAGTATGGGAGCCAGAGCGCCCTACTTTTGCTTCATGCTCCTCTCTAATTGGTCACGACAGTCACTTAAACCCCCTCTGCTCGCGGAGTACACCTTGGGTGAAATGACCGGGAACCTTTACAGTTTTATTACATTGCTGGGAACCTGTGTAAAGACTGGCAGACGTTCAGAAAACGTTGGGATTAGAAAGCATGCAAGGGTCTGATCTTGGCTTTAGTGTCCTCTGCAGGGCACAGTACGTTTCTGAGCTTAGTTTCTTGATTTTCTGGGGCTTGTGGTGATGGCTGAATGGGAGCAAAGCCTTACCACTAGCAGCGTAGCTGGCCCGATGTAAGCACTTATTAAATGTGTGCTTGCTGACCTTTGTGAAGTTTGAATGGAAATCTGGATTAGAAATATGGCATGCTTTTGTAGAATAACTTATAAGAAATAATTTTTAACTCGGACATTTGAATTTGGGTTTAAGAAGAAGAGAAAGTATTTTAATTGTAGCAGAGGTACTAGGCAAAGAAGCCTTTCTCTCAGCAAACTCCTTTCTCTGTAGGACCCAGTTGTAAATTGAAAGCTTGGTCAAGACCAATGCATTTCATACTTTATGGAGAAAATTAAGTGAGCTAGTTCAGAGGGAAGGTTGAAGTGGAGGCTATGGTTAGATTCTCTTTGACTTCTTGTCTCCCTGACCTCTGTCACCTGGAGCTCTCTGTTCTCATCTGGTTTTCTGTGTTTTTTGTTTGCTTCCTCATCTGTTTTATATATGGGGATTTTCTATAGAACTATTTGCAGCTTCCGTTTGCTAAAGTAAAATGGGGGGTGGCTCTTGCAATACATTTCTAAACTTTCTCTGGGAATGCTGAAAAAGAACTGTCAACAGAAAAATGAACGGGAGAAGGGAACAAATGATCTGTTCCTAATTTATCGGTTTTGTTGTTGTAGTGGTTTCTTCTGTTGGTCTCTACACTTTTTAGAAATATAATTTAAGGCTAGTTGCTTTTCAGTTTTTTGGTGATTTGCAAAATCTGACTTTACCCAGACTTACAACCTTTGCTCACTGATTTGTATTTACTTTATACTTGAGGGCACAAATTCTACATAGGTATATACCATAATAATAATCATTCAATTCCAGCTGAACTTTATTTTGTTGAGAAAAAAATTTCACTTACGTAATTATTGTATAATTATAGTAGTTGCCAGTTTTTACACTAGATTTTTAGTTGGGACTGCATATAAACTTAATTTTTTTAGTATAGCACATGAAATTCCTTTATGTCTTTTAATAATAAATTTGTAGTCAAGGCTCAAAAAAAAAAAAGACAAAACAAAAGATACAGTGCTTACAAAAAATACGTTAGAAGCCAGGCTTTGTGGCACATGCCTATAAATTGAGCACTCAGAAGGCTGAGGCAGGAAGATGTAAAATTCTAGGCCATTCTGGACTACAGAGTGAGATACTGTCTCAAAATAAAGAAGAAAAAGGGTGCAGTATCATCCCAGCACTTTGAGACAGGAGGATCTTAAGTTTCAGCCCAGCCTGGGCCACTTAGCAAGACCCTGTCTTAAAATGAAATAAAAAGGGCTGTAGCTCAGTGAGAAGGCCTTAGGTTCAATCCCTCGTACCACAAAAAGACAGAAGGGCAAGCAGGCAGAATGACAAAGACAGACACACAGACACAAGACCAAAATGGGGCCATGGATATAGCTCAGTGGCACAGTTCCTGCCTGGAAAGGTCCTGAGTTAGCTTCCTGGAACCAAAAAAAAAAAAAGAAAGAAAGACCAAAAAAATAAATAAATAAAGACACAATAAATTTTGTCAAGGATTAGGATAAAAAGGAGCCTTTCTATATTTTCTGGTGGGAATACAAATTAATAAAGCCACTATAGAAATAAGTTATGGACGTTCCTCAAAACACTAAAAGTAGAACTACAGTTTGATCCAGCTATACCACTGAGTGGTATATACCCAAAGGAATGAAAGTCAACATACTATAAGGATAAATGATACCCATGTTTATTGCAACACAATTCACAATAGCCAAGGTAATGGAACCAGCTCGTCAATGGATGAACGGACAAAGAAAATGTGCTGTGGGGCTGGGGATTTAGCTCAGCGGCAAAGCGCCTGCCTGGCAAGCACAAGGTCGTGAGTTTGGTTCCCGGTACCGGAGAAAAAAAAAAAAACAAAATAAAAAAGAAAATGTGCTGTATATACACAAGTGAGTATGATTCAGCTGTAAAGAATAAAACTCATTTAAGCCAGACGTGGTGGCACACGTTTATACTCCCAGCAGGATCATTTCGATTTCATGGCCAGTGTGGGGTACAGAATTCAACTGGGCTACAAAATTCAGCAAAAGAACAGATTAAAAGCTGTTAGAGAAGAGAAATACATCATCTGTGAAGGAAAACCCATTAGAATCACGGGAGACTTCTCAAAACAAACCATCAAGTGATGAAGAGCTTGAAGTGAAGTATTTCCAGCCCTGAAAGAAAACAATTTCCAACCCAGACTGCTATACCCTACAAAGCTATCTTTCAAAACTGATGGAGAATTAAGATACTTCCACAATAAACATCAACTGAAGAAATTCATGATGACCAAACCAATTCTACAAAGACTACTGAAAGATACTCTACAAAGAGAAAAAAATGACCACAATATCAAGACCAACAATAGAAAAGAACTACCAAGCAAAGTAAGTACTTAAACAGAGGGGAAAGTACAGAACCAACAGTGGGAAAATAACATGACAAACATGAGTCAATGCATATCAGTAATAACCATTAATATAAATGGCCTCAACTCACCAATCAAAAGAAAGAGACTCTTAGCTCAGCGGCAAAAGCGCCTGCCTGGCAAGCGCAAGGTCGTGAGTTCGGTTCCCGGTACCGGAGAAAAACCAAAAAAAAAAAAAAAAACAAAAAAACAAAAGAAAGAGACTGGCAGAGTGGATCAAGAAACAAAATCCAACAGTATGCTGTATATAAGAAATGCATTTAGGGCTGGGGATTTAGCTCAGCGGCAAAGCGCCTGCCTGGCAAGCGCAAGGTCGTGAGTTCGGTTCCCGGTACCAGAGAAAAACCAAAAAAAAAAAAAAAAAAAGAAATGCATTTAACTCAGAAGAACAGTCATACACTGAAAGTCAAAGGGTGGAAAACAATATCGCATGAGATAGAAACCCAGAAAAAAGCAGGAGTAGCTCTTATGTTTGTAGATAATGTGAACTTCAAACCCAGAATGATCAAAAGAGATAAAGAAGGTCACTGCATTCTTGTTAGGGGAAAACTGCAAGAGGAAGACATAACAATCATAAATATAAATGTACCGAATACAGCAACATCCAACTATGTAAGACAAGTATTAACAGACATGAAAAATCAAATAAGTAATAACACAATTGTAATAGGGGATTTTAACACCCCATTGTCACAAAAAGATAGATAAACTAGACAAAAAATCAGCAAAGAAATAACAGAACTAAACCAAACATGTAAACAAATGGACTTAGTATACCTTTACAGAGTGTTCCACCCAAGAACATTAGAATACACATTCTTCGCAGCTGCGCACAAAACGTTCTCTATTTTTTTTTTTTTTGGTTTGGTTTTTTTCTGGTACCAGGAATAAAACTCACGACTTCAAGCTTGCCAGGCAAGCGCTGTGCCACTGAGCTAAATCCCCAGCCCCTGTGAGATGTTCTCTAAAACAGACCAGATACTAGCACATAAAACATGCCTAAGTAAATGCAAAGGAACTGAAATACGCCCATGCATATTTCCAGACCACAGTGCAATGAAAGTAGAAATTAATGGTAAAAGGAATTGAAAAATTCCATAAACACATGGAAAATAAATAACACCCTCCTGAAAAACCAATGGGTCATAGAAGAAATTAAATACTATTTACAATCAAACGAGGGGCTGGGGATTTAGTTCAGTGGCACAGCACCTGCCTGGCAAGTACAAGGTCTGAGTTCGACTCAGAGTACCGGAAGAAAAACAAAAAAAAAAAAAAATACAATTAAACGAAAATGCAGATACAAACTATCAGAAACTGTGGGACATAATGAAAGCAGTCTTCAGAGGGAAATTTATAGCAGTGGATTCCCACCTCCGGAAAACAGAATAAACAAAACTAAACAGATTCATGCTGCACCTCAAACTTCTAGAAAAAGAACAGGAAGTCAAGCCCAAAGCCCGAAGAAGTGAGGAAATTATAAAGATCAGAGAAGAAATTAACACAACTGAAACTAAAAAAATACAAAGAATTAATGAATCAAAGAATTGGTTCTTTAAAAAATAAATAAAATTGGTAAACCTGTAGCCAATCTTACCAAAAAAAAAAAAAAAAGGAATGAAAAACTCAAATCCATGCAGTAAGGAATTACAGATCCTGTAGAAATTCAGAAGATGATCAACACCTACTTTGAAAATCTCTCACAGGATGGAAAACACAGAGGAAATGGACAGATTCCTAGATACATGTGAATTACCAAAGCTGAAAGAAGATATAAAAATCCTGAATAACCCAATATCAGCCAGTGAAATTGAAAATATAATAAAAAACTTACCAACAAAGAAAAGCCCAGGTCCTGATGGATTCACAGCTGAATTCTACAAGAAATTTAGGGAAGATTTAATATCAATTCTTCTCAAACTCTTTAATGAATTAGAAAGGGAAGCAATTCTCCCCAACTCATGCCTGGAGGCAAGTATTACCCTCATACCAAAACCAGAAAAAGACCCAACCAAAAAAAAGAAAGGCCAATCTCCCTAACAAACACAGATGCAAAAATTCTCAATAAAATACTAGCTAACAGAATGCAGCAAATCATCAAGAAGAAAAATAAAACATGAACAGTTGGGATTTATCCCAGGCATGTAGGCGTGGTTCAATATATACAAATCAATAAATGTAATACACCATATCAACAGAAGCAAAGACAAGAATCACATGATCATCTCAATAGATGGAGAAAAAGCTTTTGATGAAGTCCAACACTTATTCATGATAAAAACCCTACAGAAAATTGGAATACATGGACTTTTCCTCAGTCTGATAAAAGCAATCTATGACAAACCAACAGCCAACATCATAATAGATGGACAAAAACTGAAAGCTTTCACTCTAAAGTCAGGAACAAGACAAGTATGTCCACTATCTCCACTCCTATTCAACATAGTTCTAGAAACACTAGCCACAGCAATGAGACAAGAGAAATAAAAGGAATAAGGATAGGAAAGGAAGTGAAATTATCATTATTTGCAGATGACATGGTACTCTACGTAAAAGACCCCAAAAAGTCCATGTCTTAGAGGTTTTTGCCCCTTTATCAAAGATACTTAATTTTCTCTCGCAGAGACAAATACCTCACACCCAGAATTAAGGAAGGAAAGGTTTAGTTAGCTCACAGGGGGCCAGGGATATAGCTCAGTGGCACAGGCGCCTGCCTGGCAAGCACAAGGTTCTGAGTTCAGTTCCCAGTACCAAAAAAAACAGTACTGAAGAGCAAAGGTTCCTTTACACTCTGGTTTCTATTTAGCTCACAGTCTGTGGAGGTTTCGGTCCATATGTGGCTGGCTCCAAGGCAGGGGGAGGGCCGAGGGTATAGCTCAGTGGCATAAGTGCCTGCCTGGCAAGCGCAAGGTCCAGAGTTCGATTCCTGGTACCAAAAAAAAGTCACAAGGCAGGGGGGGCACATGGCACAGGGCAAGCTTTCATGGTGGTAGAAGACAGCAAAAACAGCAAGAGCATGAGGGGAGGAGAGGCAGCACCAAGTAGCCCTTTCCCTCCCTCACACTGTAATGCAAACTACCTGCCCCATGGTAGGTGTAGCACTCACATCCATAATTCCAACACTGGACCATGAATCAATCATAAACTCTAAAAGCCTGCCCCATGACTACATGTGTCTTTGGGGGATCACCCAGATACAAACCGTAACACTCCACCAAAAGACTCCTAGACTTAATAAACAAATTCAGTAGCTGTAGTGGTTGATTATGAACTTGAGAAGTTCAGAAGCATAACTAAACTTGGCTCAGCAATTGGCTCAGCAATTCTACACCCTAGGGTGTAGAGGAGCC